AAGTAAATCCTCTAATCAAACATACATGGCTCAGATATAAATTAAAGCCCCCCTCCCCCCCGTATTTTCCACCAAAATTCAAAATGTAAATAGGTACGTTTAAGATTAATTTCAATGCCTCAGAACGCTGGGGCCCCCACACAAGCTTGTGATTTCTCCATAAATTCTAAAGATTCTCCATCCTCAATCCTTAAATAAATTATATCATAATAATTATGTCAATAATTATATTATATCCTTAAATTATATCAGAAAAATATCTTGCCAAAGTATTTTGAGAATTACCCTGGTTGACTTGGGTTGGACTCGTTTAGAAATTTAATCTCAATCAAAAATGCCAATTCCCTGAGCTGAGCAGTTTAATTTTTCTCCGCGAGTGAAATTTGTGCTTGGCGCCATTAGGAGCAAAGAGTAGGGGAGAGGAGAGAGCAACAGAGGAGAATCATGGAGTCCGAGCGAGCTGCACGCACGCTCGACCAGCTACTCCCGCTCTGTGATCGCCTGCACATCGTAGGGGGTCTTTGCCTGCAAAAACGCTCAATCCCCGCAACATACCGCATAATCAGTGTCGGACATTGACACATGACACCAAACTTGCATCAATCACCAATTCAACACGTGCATTGTTTTGATCGAAATGTGTTTCCTGAAATTCTCTTTTGAAGTAATTTAAAATTATTTTAAAGTCATATTTTCTGTCAGTGCATTTGCTAAAGCAACAACTCTCAACATGGCCATAATGGGGGCCAAAAATGGTGATAACGGAGCCTCTACGTCCCATGCCAGGAAAGCATTGCCCATCAGCAAAGTCAGAGAGAGGTTAGTTCTTATGAAAGTGCATATCTAAAATTATTCTCTTTTTCTTTTTTACGAAAAACTATTGACCAGCATGTTGTCAACATGTTGATGGAATAATGAAAGACCTTTCCAGGCTCTTGGATCAACTGTTCAATCTTTCTCTCTCTGATGAGGTCTGCCATAAAATTGCATCTGATTCGCCGTACTGCGAGGGAAAGTGCGATGCACGATGAAGCTGTATTGCTGGCAAAGGATGGAAAGTTTCCTAGATGAAAGGCAACATCAGAGTTCTACTCCTTTGACCTGACCATTCTTTCACCAGGGAAGGAAGAAATGGCATTAAGGAATCCCAAGTCTTAGGATTACCTGTATGGATATCAATGCCTCTCAGCCACAGACATTGAATCACGTAGACCATGCATCCTGTATTACGGAAGGCGAGACAACTTTTAAAAATTTGCATGCCGATGAGTGGTGGCACCTACCCGATCAATGAGTTCGTGTGTCCCAGTTGCGCACATCTGCGCATGCTTAGTAGCGGCTCCAGTGAATTTTTTGTCGGATTGTGAGGCTTTTTTCCTTGGTTAATAATTAGTTCGGAGTAAAATTGTGTGTTCTGAAACTTTTCATCTCAAGAATTTTGTCTGAAAATGGACTTTCAATGAGATATTTGTGAAAAACCGAGCACGGGAATGAATTTTCCATTGTCTCTCTGCAGTCTCTTCGAGTGCTTGGGACACACGCTCTCTCCCCTTCCCTGCCCGCCCATCATGGGGCTTCGAGAGACTTGCTTTGCTCCGCCTGTTCTAAACCGAGCCGGACGCACGGTCTACGTGATTCAATGTCTTTGCTCTCAGCTCGGTAACACTGTTGCCTACGAGAATAGAGAGGCCGTAACTACGATTCTGTGACGTCACGCTAGTAGATGAAACTTGGCTGTGTTATAACATGTGTTCTTATAGGAGAATGCGAGACACATGTTTCTTTTGTGCCAATATCTATTCAGGGTTGAGCTGATGCAAAATTCTGAAGAACCATTTTGCAAGAAGATGAAATTTCACTTCAGGAAACTACCCAGTCCATAAATTACATCGTCTGATAATTGATGAAATAAAAGCTAAACACTACTAAATATCGAAAATTGTTACCCCACTAAGATTAAAACGCGCCGCTCATGTAACTTCGGCCGACCGACGGCGGCTCTAATTGGTTAACACGGCGACTACTCTACTAGTTTGACATCACAAAACCGAGTAGTTATGGCCTCTCCATTCTCGGAGGCAATGGTAGCACTTCAGATTATTTTACAGATTTTATATCATTCTGTATTTCACTTACTTCTCCGGCAGTAATCAGGTAACTCCTTGAGCTGTTTTTTTCTATCTCATTTGCTGTGTTTGTCTGGTCGGATTTTAGACCACACCTGTTAAAGGATTTACCCTCAGCAATGTGTCACCTCACGTGAAAAGATATAAGTAAATGGTTCTTCTCTGTTCTAGGCTGGTGGAAGAGATTTCGAACAACATGACGTTGATTTTGATCGGAGAAACGGGCTGTGGAAAAACAACCAAAATTCCTCAATTCATTTATAAAGCAAAACTGAACAAAGGCGCAATGATAGCCGTAACACAGGTGAGACTGCCATCTTTTCTCTAACAAACTCATTCTCTGTAACCCTGTCTTTTTTTGCTTAATAAATTGGATTGATTGAAAACTTACATACTTAGTTTAGCTGGATTTGGTTTCCACTGGGTTTTCTTCTTTTCCTATCATTACAATTTTACTCAGATTGTAGAAATGCAAGTCCAAGTGAATTACATTGAACAATGGACCTATCTAGTTCCTTTTCTAAATTTACCAGCAGCATGATTCTTGAAATTTATGTCGGCACGACAAGAACCAAAAATCGATATATTACACGGCGCAGATAGGGCTATGTCTTGTCTTATCGAGCCGACATAGCCAGTTAAAGTTTCAGTAATCTGGCTGCTGGTAATGAGTCCTAGTCTGTGATAAAATCAATGTAAACAAATGATAAATGCCCCAAAACAACAATTTTTTTGAGATTCCTAAGAGCTAGATGATTTTATAAGATGTTCATAGCACTAGATAAAGGCCATACTAAAAAAGTTTCTGCCCCTCTAGAATGCAACAGAAGCTCAGCTTTATTAGTAACCCAACCAAAGAATTTCACTTTAAGAAATAGACATCTCTCACTTTGATATACTGTGTTTGGAGTCAATACCAAAATAGAAAGACAAAACAAAACTTTCCTAATTATTAATGAATTGTATGTGTTGCAGCCAAGAAGAGTTGCAGCAGTAACGATTGCATCTCATGTAGCCAATGCCTTTAATTCATCTGTAGGAGGATTGGTTGGGTACACCGTTCGGTTTGAGGATGCAACATCGGCAGACACTAAAATCAAATTCCTCACAGATGGAATGTTACTGAGAGAAGCCATGTTAGGTAAGCGCGAATATACAAAGCAAAAGCTTAATATTGAAGTAAATAGTTTTAAAGTACACCAAATGAATCCCATGTTCTGGCACTTCCTTCCTGTATTGATTTTACCTCACATTTTCTCCGAAGTTTTTCCAATTTCTCTTTCCGCCCAACAGAAATTATTTTGAAATTTCATATAAGTTGACTGTTTAGTTTTTATATCACAAATGTTCTGTAGTGCACCACACTGAAAATTTTCTGCAGATTTTGTAGTTTTTAATGGGGCAGTTGCAAGAAATTCTTGCAGGGTTATAATTTAGTTTTTCACGTGTAGAATTTCGCAGAAAAACCACAAAAGTGCTTTCAAAAATTCAAAAAATTGTTTCTAAGGGGAGAAAAAGCTGATCAAAAGCCAACGGTCGAGTTGACGTAGCAAGGCAAAGCTTGAAGCTGAGTCAAGTTAATCAGAAATTGTTGTTTCCTGTGCCGGCTATGTAATCAGAGCCTGCCAAAAATATTGTTTCAAAGGGTTCCCATTTTTCACATTTTCTAACAAGAATCTTGTTGCCATTTAGTGTTCAAGAAATCGTGAAAAAATTCCTAGAAGCTCAGTTCACTCCATACTATTAGAAAATGAGTTCAAAGAAATTGGTGGCACTGACCCCCATCAGCAATCATCATGATATTTTAACATGAAACATTTCGGATTTTTTTTAAAAGAGAAAGTATTACCAACTCTATTCTATTTTCATTTGTTACTGTTTAAAAATCAAGCTCCCCTTTTATCACTTTTATTAAATCAATTTTTTCAGATGCCAATTTATCAAATTATTCAGTGATTATTCTGGATGAGGCTCATGAAAGGACTGTCAACACAGATATCTTATTTGGCATCGTAAAACGTGCTCAATATAACAGGGAACAGCAGAAAATCAAACCATTGAAGGTAATATTCTTTTTTTTTAATGTTTACTCTGTAATGCATTAGCCACTGTCTTCATGGAGAAAAGGAAGAAGAAGTGGTGAGGCCTACCTTTAGATTTGTTGGCAAAGGAACGAACAAAGGCCTAGCAGCCAATGAGAATGAGGCTAGAGCTAAATTTAGACACTGCTTCATGCAGTACATGACCCTTTGTCATAACCCTCATCAGATCTACAGTTACTTGATGTGACATAAAAATGTACATTTCCCCTCTTGCCACCACCCTCAGTACACATTTCTTCAGCACCTGCATTTCACATACATTTTTTATATTCTAGTCTATCTCTCTGGCTAATTTAAAGGGTCCTCATTTTCTCAAAATGTAATTCAAATTTTTTTCCAGTCAGTTGAATGTTTAGTGAAACTAGCTGATTCTCTCTTCACCATGATAATATTATTTTCAACGCTCTATACTTTTTGTTCTTCTCTTCAGATTATTGTCATGTCAGCAACCATGGATGTTGATCACTTTTGCAAATATTTCAACAATGCACCAGTTGTGTTTGTCGAAGGGCGCACTTTCCCAGTCCACATTCACAATGCTGTGAAGCCCCATGAAGACTATTTTTTCAGCGTCCTTTCTACCATCTTCCAATTACATCAGTCTGCGCCTGTTAAGTATGTCACCCGTAAAGTCTTTTTAATTTTAAGCTGTTTTTTTTCTGTCATTAAGTTCTAAGACTGGTTTTTTATTTTTGAAAGCCTTTTAGTCATTTTGTTTTTACTTTTCTACTTACTTGACACCCGTCAATCACCAATTTCAAAATCTTCAACCAATTATTTTGGTATTAATTTTCAAGATATTCATTCTTCAAGCTGTTTTATTAAGTGTCACACCTAATGAGATAAATATATCTTGCTGCGGTTTTCATTCTTTTCATTTTTTCTCTCCATTCTCATTCGACCAATCAAAAATCTTGAAATCAAGAATGATCCTATTTTAGCTATTTCCCTGATTATCATATTTGTAATTTCAAGCCAGAAGGGTTTTTTCCTATTTTCCTTTTTTTATTATTTATTATTATTAACTCTTGACCCTGTCCTATTGTTCCAGTCATGACTTTCTGGTGTTCTTAACAGGACAAGAAGAGATCGAATCAATGGCTCACAATATCAGGCAGATTCAAATGGTGCGTATAACTTATGTATTAGTTTCATAATCACAAGCGTTTAACATATATATTTTGAATAGATAAGTAGGAATTTTCTCGAAGAAGAATTTCATTTTTTATCTTTTTAAAGTATATTTGCTTTTTCCTTCTGGACCTCTACAAGAACAACTTGGAATCGTGTATTTGCAGGGTTGTAAGTCAATAAACTCTTGATTCTTGCAGATTCTACCACTATATCTCAAGATTATCATGTGACAGAACGGATGGCAGGTTATAGAAATTCTCATAAAATCGCAAAGCGTTAATGTGTATTCTATTGTTAAATCAAGCCTGCAGAAATTGAAGAAAGAAACAAAAAAACAAACAAATTGTAGCTTTTCTAACTTCCATCGCTTATCCTACCATGATCTGTGGTGCAGGATCCTTGGATCTTGCATTTTTTTGCACGCCTGTAAAAATTATAACCGGCTCAAGTTTACTACAACAGTACAGGAGTAGAGAAATCTCCGAGTTGTCTCCCAAATTTGATTGCTCTTCCTCATTTTAACTAGAGTCCTTTTACACCGAGAGTCAAGACAGTGTGAATCCATTTCTGATTGGTTCCCGTATTTTAGACCTCCACAGTGTCACAAACGGGAATAAAGATTACATCTTCACCTATTGCAAAGATTATAATCTAGAATGGACCGGGGAAGGAAGGGTTCGACAAGGAACAAATGGAATGAGAGAAAGAACGGAGGAAGGAATTTGAGAATGAGCCGATCAAAGATTACGGAAAACTGTCAATTTGTGTAATCTTTATTCCCGTTTGTGACTCCATGAGAGGGGGTTGTCTTGACTCCCAGTATGAAGGGACTCTAATTTCAACTAAAACTCATGATTGCTTTCCTTTGAAGACTTAAAAAAAAGGAAACCTTTAACCCAGAGTATTTGGGTTTGCTCCCGCTAAAACACAGCCATCCCCCCATTTTGTCATATTTTCATGTGTGTTCCATTGCTTTTTTCTGTTCTGGCAAGGCCTTACTGACTTCATGCGACCAGCACATGATCAGGTCGGTTGCATGGTTGAGAAGTTCGTGCTTATTCGCATCAGTATTATTTTTGGCAGTCTAATAGTTAAGAGAATGAGCAAAAACTTTCTTTTGTTGGCATTGATACTATAGTACATAATTTTCCTTGTTTTTTAGGACCCTAAATTCAAGGATAGTCCGCCTATGATGATATGCTACCTGTTTGCAGCATTGCCAACTTTTGATCAAGTGAAAGCCTTCTCACCAACGCCACCTGGCAGGAGGAAGGTTATTTTGAGTACCAATATTGCAGAAACCTCAGTCACCATTAGTGGTGTGAAATATGTCATTGATTGTGGGAAAGTAAAAATTAGGTAAGCCTTTTCCCAGCATGATTAAAAAAAAATATGTGTTCCATTTTATGAGCTAACAATGTTAAAAGCATTATCATTAAGCATTATCAAGCTTTATCATTTTAAAAACCTCTTTTCTCGTAAAATACTGAAACAGCGCAATCGAGATACGTTCCTTCATGCAGGAGAGAAAGCTCATAATTGGTATGTGCCTAAAAGTGACTTTTCCGCATTGGTTCTCCTAAAATGGACTGAAGAAAGGTCTTCTCCTAAAGCTTGTGGTGTTCAGACGGCCACCAAAAAAACCATCATATCTAAAAGTAACAGTATCTAATTGGTTCCAAGTATCAATTTTTGCATTGTTTGAAGTTTTAATTTTATTTTTATATATTCTCATTCAATTCTAGAACTCATCAACCAAGTACAGGTCTGGATATGTTAAAAGTGAGTCCTATCTCACAGGCGCAAGCATGGCAGAGGGCAGGACGAGCTGGTAGAGAATCAGAAGGTCACTGCTATCGTGCGTATACAGAGCAAGTAAGCATATTTCACTTTGCATTTTATCCTTGATCTTATTTCTTTTTTTATAGTGCAACCATCCACAGGAAAAAGGGACTTTAGTGTTAAAAAACTTCACAGTGAAGTATTTGAATCCCTGCTTTAAAAAATGCCCAGCAATTATGAAGGTTGTTCAGAAAGTAAGTTTACCTATTCAATATTTTCTAAATTAGGATAGATAAAAAAATCTGTAAAAAGCGTTGATTTGCCACTACTCTCAGCTTTTTAACGCGCTGTAGATTTTTTAGTTTGATGTAAAAGAACTCCGAAAAAATGTATTTTTCTGGACCCACCTCCTTTCCACGCGGGTCCAAAATTTCACGGAGCGTCATCAGCAAGTGAGTTACTGTGAGAGCTGTATCTCTTGCTTATCGCAAAAAAAGCGGCTTAAAAATGGCTGAAAGTCATGCAAAACATTAGGAAGTACATTAATCAGCTAGGATATTGCAGGATTGACTGTATTTACATTAAAATCAGTTGTATCCGAACAAAAGTAACCGAATTGTCATCGTTAACTCTCACTGTACTGACTGACTGAATTGTTTATAGGGCTTCACATTATGCCGCCCGCTCTCGAAAAAATTTCATCAAAGATGCATCATTTGAAAAGTATGCATTATTAACAACATCTGTATTGTAAATTAACTTGAATTTGAGCCGTTTGGTCACCTTTTTTGATTAAAAAACGAATTAGAAAGCGCAATTCACACACCGAAACCAAATTCAGCTGGCACAACTCAATGAATTAACCAATTTTAGCTTACCTTTTCACGTGTTGCAGTTCAGACCCACTAATACCGAATGAACCTGCAATTTTTCTGATTTAGATATGTTCTACCCCATATTTTACATGAAATTCAACCACCTCTAAGCCACTTTCTTGCTATAAGTGATAGGCCCAACAGCTCATTTGCTGATGGTGCTCCATGAAATTTTAGACCCGTGCGGAGAGGAGGTGGGCTCAGAAAAATCCACTTTCCTAGAGTTCTATCAAACTAAATTTAAAAATCTATAGCATGTTAGAAAGCTAAGAGTAGTGGCTTTTCAACGCTTTTTACAGATTTTTTCTATCTATCTTAGTTTAGGTGTTATTGAATAGGTGAACATACTTTCTGGATGACCCTCGTATTTTGATTAATAGAAAAAATTAACGCCAGAAAAGTTAAACTATATTAGAGTCATAGAATGTGGGAAGCTTGCAGTGGGTCAGATAAACTCGGGAGGAATTGGTTGGCCAATAGTTGATAGTCACAGATTTTGGTATGAGGAAAACAATTCGCCCGGTAAAATTACCCTAAAATCGGCAAAATAAGGTTTCCTTTTGCATTGTCCTGCAAAATATGTTTTAACCATCTTGTTCTTTACCGCCATCAAAATTTGACTTTATATGCAAGAATGGGAAAATGGCTGCAGCAATGCTTACCCACTAATTACTCTAGTGCTGTCATTTGAATTCTTATTGACATCTTGTTCGAGATTATGTTAGTTCTTTAGTGTTGTGATACTGCAACTACTACTAGTGTATGTGCTACTTGTGATTTTCACTCTGAAAGACAAGATCTTGGCAAATGTGGTGAGCCGACAGCTGAACTCATCAAAATTGCATGGCCCAGCCTAAAACCTCTGATCAACAAGCTGATCAACAACGCACTGTGCTGTCTCTTTGTATTTTTCTATCATGGATTCTGCCACCATATTGATCCTGATGGCAGACTCAAAAGCATTGAGCTCACTGCTTAAACCCTGTTTTTGGCTACCCTAACTTTTTGCACCTTTGTGTGAATTTTTCTCACAATTGTCCTTATCATGAAATGTCAGGAAGAAAACAGAAAGTTAAGTTCACTTAATACTCTTGAAGCCCGTTGGGTTTAAGTAGTGCAGTCTGGTAGCGATTCTGCAAATTAATGTTTAACATGTGAAGATGAGACTAGTTCAGAATCCTTATTGTAGATCTAACTTGTTTTATTTTTTTTTTATTTTTTAACAAAATTAATACAAGAGCAGACATGTCCAAATGCCATATCCTTCTCAGAATTGTTGCAATTGATTCTTTTTCTTTTCTTTTTCTAGGAATTTGCAAATTTTAAAAAAAATACTCCACCTGAAATTCAAAGGTGCAATCTAGCGAGTGTAGTGCTTCAGTTGTTAGCGATTGGTATCAACGCTATGAAGTTTGATTTCATGGATAAACCTAACGAACAGGTTGGTATCAGCTCATGTTTCTAATCACTTGAAATAATGAATTTGTATAGAGTAGAACTCTGCGTTAAGTGCCAGTCAAACAAAACTCTTGAGCCACTTAAGTTGGTGTCATCTTTATTTCGTAAATGTTAAAATTGTATAGGCCTTTAAGGTAGGTGTATTCTTTTCAATGTTTGTAATAGTGAGGAAATTTATTTGACTTGAAGAAGCCTTCGGGTAACAACTAATTACATTGGCAGCATTATGTCTCAATCCAGACAGCAGAAATACTGAGCAATCCGCGTAAATAGTTGTTCGCAAAAGTTTTTCACATTCTTAGAATATTTATCAGCGTTCTCATTCATTACGACTTAGTGGTTAGCAGCGGTAGTGTGATTTCCGTGATTGATATTTTGGAGAGAGAGTCTCCATAATTAATGACCTTTTTAGGACAAAGTTTCCATAGTTATGTAATAACTTTTTTGTAGATAAGTCAGCTGCCCATTATTTAGGGGACTGAAAAGTATTTAAAACATGTTCACATCTATTCAAGGTTTCTGATGGTCTGAAAAACCTGGAAAGTTAGAGAATTTCGCCAGTAGTGTTCAGCAAAAGTCAGTATAATTGAAAGGAAAATACCTAGATGAAAATTTTGTTTGAAGGTCAGAGAAATACAGAGAATAAGGAAAAAACCCTGAATATATACTTTTTATATTTCCACCATGTTCTTTTCACTCTCAACAATTTTGCTTATGGGTTTTCTATTGTCTGGGTTCCAGCTTTTAGCTCATAATCACACCACCACAGTTCACCTATAGTTCGTATTTAGATGATTTATTCTTAGCGCTTATACTAATTCTCTCCTTTCAACTTTAATTTAATGTTTTTTATTTTCATTTTAACTATTCTCTTACCTAAAATCTGATTATTGAACGTATTTTATTATTTTTTAGTCAATCAAAGAGGCTTTGCTTCAACTGAAGGATTTAGGAGCAATCACAAATATTGAAAACCCCTCTCTGACTCAACTGGGGAAACTAATGTCTCAGTTTCCATTGGATCCTAGGTATTCAAAAATACTCATCTGCGCGCAAAATTATGAGTGCTTGTAAGTAGATTTTTCCTACCACTTTCTTCTTAAAGTTTAAACAAAAGAAATACTCTTTTTGCAGCAATGAGTGACTCAGACTTAACACTCTGCACCAAAAATGTATGTAGAAGCATCGATTTCAAAATCGCCTCCTTGCCTAAAATTACTCCGAAGGTATCTTACAGGCTTATTATTTGTATGAAAATTGCCTCAAGGATATGTCTTCATGTGGTTTTTAATTTTTTTTTCTCTCTTTCAGAACACAAGGGCTTCATTCTTTAAGACATCAAAAAGTGTCGTATTCTTATTATTACATACATACTTTTTTCCTCTCTCAACTAAAGTCGCAAAGGATTTAGAATAATATCGATTAGTTTTATCTATGAGTCAAACGGTCTCTAAAATTCTAAAAAATGTCTTCGTTAAGTTTATTGAACACTTCGTTCGAATAAAATTCTAACTATTTGCTCTCTGTCTCTCACTCCCTACCCCCCGATGAGAAGTACAAACTTTAATTAATGTTTGCTCGTTAACTTTTCAGGGAGGAAATTTTGATCATTGTAGCTATGCTTTCAAGCGAAACTGTGTTTGTGAATGCTCAGTCAAAAAAAGAGGAAGTAGCAGAGGCTCGACAAAAATTTCACTCTTCCTCAGGCGATCACATAACCTTATTAAAAATTTTCCGTGCGTTCGCTGCTGCTGAAACTAAAAAGGTACGTGTAACTTTTCTTCTCCAAAAAGGCCAACAAAGGACAAAATATTCAGGTTTGGTAAATCTTAGGAAGAGAGAGACAAAGCTTAGCCGCAGCATTTATCTCTCAAAGTTTAATGTTCAAATGTTACATCAAGTAGAAAAAACCTCTTAAACATAACAGTTTGACAATGAATGCTGACTGGTGACTGCGTGGCTTGTGTGCGATATTTCAAAATTTCCCCTTTCATTTGATTTTATCAAAGAAAAACAAACAAACGCAATGGCTTGAAATATTTATAGTTTATTCCCTCTTGAAGAGAATATAAATTAGGGATGTTTTAAAAAAATGATGTTGAGTGTATCATTTAAAAAATAAAGAACGACAAAAAGTCTTCAATGTTGCAAACGGAGAAATACATTCCTGCAGTTTCAACATCAAATTGCTTTGATTTGACTACAGGCAAGATAACCAAATTATTCTCAATTTTTGTATTTTCATATATTTTTAGGCTGATCTTATTTCCATTCGTTTCTTTTGATTTGCCACAGTAAGCTAAAAACTTAATGTGAAGATTTGTCGCTGTGAATAGGAGGGAGAAAGAAAGGTATCAATATTTTCAAAAATTAAAATGATTAAACTGAAAATATTTTCGATTTGGAGTGTTGACCTTGTTTCCTCTCGTCCAAAAAATATGCAATGTTAGTAGTGTGAAATCATAAAATTTTAACTTTCATTTTTATTATTTAATCATTTTCATAGCTCCGCTCCGTTATTTCACAGCTCCATAACACCGGTAAATGTCAAGCCCTCCTCATTATTCTCATTTGTATTTTGAAAAATCAGTTAAAAAAGTTGAAAGCAAAAACAGAGTTTGAAGGGTGTATTACACCTGAATTATTATTTTTTTTTTTTTTTTTGTCTTTTTCCTTGAAAAAAAAATTACTTTACGAGAGGAATTTTTCTTACACTGCTGTAATATTCTACTCTATCTTAATGCTTAATGTTTCAGAAATGGTGCTCTAATAATTTTCTTCACTTTCGAAATTTGGAGTACGCAACCAAAGTCAGGAAACAGTTAACTGAGCTATGCCAAAAAAATGAATTCACATCAAGTTCCTGCGGACAGCAGTATGATCAAATAAAAAAATGTCTCCTAACCGGTCTTTACATGAATTTAGCAGAATTACAACGGGATAAGAAATACCTTACAGTAAGTACTTTTTTTATTTTATCTCCTTGGTTTTCAAAATCCGTCCAGCCTTTTCACAAGAAATTTTTGAAAAACTATCATATCCTATCAGGAAAGTTCTAAATTCATTTTTTCCCGTGATGTTCATACTACCTAACTGAGACAATTTCGTTTGTTTGTTTTAAACCATAACCTAGCAGCTTAGGGAAAAATTCAGTGGAAAAACAGGATAGCTCATGGTTTGAACTTTGTTTGTACTAAAACTTTTCATCCAATCAAATAACTGATACTCCTCTCATAATGCCCTGTAAGGGCATTGTAAGGGTTTGTGATTTTGCTCTGTAAGGCCCTCTCATAACCCGAGAGCGATGATCTTGTCGAGACAAAAGTAAAAAGATAGTGCGACCTGTTTCCACCATGCACCTCTAGTTCCTCTAGTTCTGAAGTATGCTCCTTTGCTCTTTCAGATTTGTCGTACCTATTACATTTTTATTTTTTTATGCTATTCTTCACCAAGAACAGGTCTGCAGTTTCACCTCGTTAAGACTGATGTCAACATCTTTTGCCAATTTGTCAGTTCTAACAAGTATCCATAATTGATCATAATGATAAGCTGCAACTGGCCCATCTTTCACTCATGTTATCTATAATTTTAAGGAAGACTAGATACATTTTGAAGGCTAGGAAGGCAGAAAGTTCTTAGCTATCCCTTTTTCAAATTGGCCCTTCCTTCAACAGTTCAAAATAATGACCTTTTTTTCTTTCAATTCTCATTTTTGCCTTGGTCTTGAAAATTATCCACAATGAAGATGTTGCATGTGTGAGGAATTTGCAATTTGACTCTTGATTCTTATGTAAAAGTTCAAGAGAAACATGATGATGCCACCGGTTTTCTCTGAAATCAACTCCCAAGCTCAAAAAAAGCTCTCAAGTTAAGGCCAAAATGGAAGGGATATCCCACGCTATCCTGAAAGTCTACCTCTACACCAAGACAAACTCTCCATGCAAAGATCGGGAGCAAATACATTGACAGGGCTGCCACTTTTTTGAGGACTCTAAAACTGAAAACACGGCAGCCCTGCTAATGTATTTGCTCCCTATCTTTGCATGGAGTTTGTCTTGATTTACAGGTGGACTCTCAGGATAGCGTGGGATGTATCCTTTTCATTTTGGCCTCAACCTGAGAGCTTTTTTGAGCTTGGGAGAACTTTTACTTAAGAATCAATAGCCAAATCGCAAATTCCTCACACATGCAACATCTCCACTGTAAATTTCTCTGATGCCTGCTCATACACTTATATATTGCCTTGTTGTTTGCAGGTCCATTCAAGACTAACGACATCAATACATCCCACATCATCTCTATTCGGATCGTTGCCTCCTTGTATTTTATTCACTGAAATTTTAGAAACCAACAAAAGTTACCTCAACAACATTTCAACTATTGACCCTGCATGGGTTGAAGAAGTTGTTCCAAACTATGCTCGTCAACACATTCTGCGGAAACTCGACTAGGAAACATCTTTGATTTTAAGCTCTATTTGGAAAAGATGAATTACTGCGACTTCTAAGATTTTAATCTAGGAGAGTACATATGGTTATGATCTTTGAATTTTGAAGCCTGGTACTTACTTCTGATGATGCAATATTTGCTATCATATCTCTACCCAGTCAATCAAGATTGCTCTTAAGATATTTATTTTAAAGCATTTATTATTCAGATACTAAGTGAATTTTTTTCAGAGAACCATAGCAAATGAGACCTAACTTGGAATGATTGTTAAATCTCAAAGCTGTTCTCATGTTGAAGTTATGTATCAGTTTAGTCATTTATTACCTGGGTGTCAATTATGTTTCATTAAGTGTGCAAATTACCATTTTTACAGTTTGACCTTTGATCCTACCATCAGTATTTGAAATAAGTATAAAAAAAATCATTCTACAGACCTAAATAATCCTTGCTAGATCTCAACCTTGAGTTGCAAATATCTAGGTTTTTGTGTGTCAGATGGTAAACTGTGTTCTCTACATATATCTAAGGTGCATTCACACTGTTTGTCTGACGATTGGTTGAACGCTGATTTGAACTCACAGTTCAGGCTGTCTCCCAAAGTTTATCGGTCGTTCCCATCTCTGAATAATTTTCTTGCATTTATCAGACTTAGAAAATCTGCCTTTACATGATGAATTAAGCCCATTCTGGTTTTTTAAAAAAGGGTATACGTAGTTGCTCAGCACAGGATAGTACAGAAAGTAGATGCAGAAAAGAGAACTGTTAAAAATGTGTAAGTCTAGTGGTACTTCAGATCAGAATACACACAGTATAGTGTATTGGCTTTAACCCTTAGGGGGCACTACATTTTATTTTTCTGTAGAACCATGCTATGTTGGCCAGCTCTTATCCATGAGACTATGCTTCACCGAGTAAGAGATTAATCTGTCCGTCTGGTTTCGCTCTTTCTCAAACAAAATTGTGGATGAAACGAGGCTCTTGTTTAAGATTGTATTGTTCTCATTATAGCTTTGAACTGGAATAAACATCCAAAATAAAACTACTATGTATTCCTGCGTAATGTTTGGAAGGAAAAGCGGCTAATAAACTGAAGTCTAAAGAAAACTTAGACTTATCAGAGAATTGAGAGGTCCTTAGTTCCAGCCACTTTCAAGCCCACAGAATTTTTTCAAAATGTGTCGTTTGAACTAGTCTGATCAAACAGTTGAAAATCAAATTTCAATTAAAGTTACCAATATATGCATCCTGCATTTTTAATATTCGGTTATCGCTAACTTTGAAATGTGTTTTAAGATCATTGCTTGACAATTTTCGAAGTCACCGATTTTTGTTTTAACTTGTAAGACTTGCTCTCCTCATTCCATACTGACTCAAAAATTACCCAAATTTACCCATAGCCAGGATCTTGCCAATTACGTTCCTCTTAGATTTGATCGAAATTCTTGGCACATGAAAAAGAGTTTTTTCTACTGGTAATTTTGTTCCCGATGTCATCCAAAGTTAGTGAATTTTCACCCCAGATGGGCCAAAGATAACTATTTCGCATGATAGCAAATTTGCAATGCTGAAATATTTCACTGCCCTAAAAATTTACTCAAGTGTGTACCTTAAAAGTAAAATTTAATGGCATTTTGCTGGTGCCAAAATTTTGCAGTGAATCTGCACCTAAATCTGTATTTGTAGCTTTAATTTAAAAACATTAAGTCGCCTCTCTGATGTAAGGGCATATTTTTATCTCTAAGTGAGCCCCAAAAAACATAGAGTTACATGGACAAAGGGCTCACGTAGAAATTGATGTACGTCGACGACGATGACGTGCGTCGATTATTCCTCATGATGTTATTCAAAGTTTTGGTTTTTTATTTTTTTTTTAATTTGTAGCTTTTTTCATTTAAGAATATAAGTATTTTAAATTTGATCTGTGATAAACCATTACCTACTTTAGGTCTAGATCATCAAGATTTTCTAGATCTAGACTTTTTTAGATATTCAGATTATACCTAAAGAATGTTATTTTTCTAGTTTTAAAATTTGGCCATGGAGTATGGAGACAAGTAAGAAAGTGGATATTCGGAGGAATTGATTGAGAGACTGGTGTCTAGTTCAAAGTGAAGATTTTTATTTTTTTCTCTGTGTGAAATCAATGTCTGGAAGGTTTTCCTTTTCTTTTATTATATGCCTTATGCAAAAGTAAGGAATACTTGTTTCATGAAAATAGATTTTTCCTAAATTCCTAAATACCTTTACTGCAGCTACGTAAAAACAGACGTAGATTCAACAAACTGCCTCCAAAATTCCTACTCAGTCCAGGATTTCTATGGTAACCTTTCCTCCTTGTAGAATACGCCTTCAATTTTGTAATTTACTTATTTCTCATATTTTCTTTGTTGCTCACTGATTTGTATTAATCTATTTATCAAGTTAGTTTAAGGTCTACTTGGTAATCACTCAAAAATTTGTAATCGTGAGGTAGGAGTGAAAAGATAGAAAATCTAATCGCTAGAATTGTTAGAGATTCTATGAGTTAAGTGGAATCCTTACCCTAAGTTTTGCATTTTCATCTCAGAATTTATTGTGCAAGTATCCACTTTCTTACAGGCTATCCTATACTTATGTTGTTTTACAATTTTGTCTTTTTATTGGTCTCACAAAAATTAAATTAAATATTTATAACAATGAAACTGTTGTGGTTTTTTTTTTTTTTTTTTTTTTTTTTTTTTTTTTTTTTTTATCATTTAAGCATTTTTTGATTCTTACTGGAAGTTCGATACCATGAATTAATCATGAATCTTGTAGGATAATTTGTCGACAAGTTCATAGATAAGTTTACCCGGCAATCTCATAGTAGCTCTTTCAACCTCTTTGAGCTTGGAAAGAGAAAATTAAGAAACTCTACTGTATTGAAGATAGGACCAATGAACAGCCTGACCATATTTTGCAATAAGGAAATGCAACTTTTGACCTAGCCATGGAAACACCTATCTCCAAAGGGAACTGTATGGCACACAGGTTCTTCCTGAAACTATAGAGAAATTGTTGTTCCTTATTGCAAGAAGTGGTCCAACTAGCCTTAAACCATTTCTTGAGTTGCATTCTTGATCGGTCGCAACTACTGTTGCCTCCAAGATTAGATCAACAGTGAACCTGTAGGAATGTGTATACCTCGGTTTGCAACTTGGTGGATTTCCTGTCATACTTTATTTTTTAAATTATCAAGTACTCAATGTCGTCTATAGAAAACTGTATTAATTTTTCTCCTCCGTGTGAAGAGTATTTTGTGAAAATTTCAATCAACATGCCGGTTAGTTCTCCTTCAATTAAATAAAATTGGAGCGAAGATTTTGAAACTCTGCAAACAAGATATGCATTGCAATAGTGTCATTGGCAATATTTCTCCGAGGAAAAACTACACCCCTGTTTACCAGCCATCCAACCAACCCAATGAGTATTACATATTCAACTTATTTTGCACTCTTTCTAAATGTACCTGCATAAAAAGTTCCATGAAACTATTTTTGAAGTGTACATACTTACCTGATTAATTAAGTGCCTATTAAATTTTTCAAAATCTCCTTCAAGTATTTTAATTTTTTTTCAACTTTGAAGTGTTTTTTAAAAATGGGGTTTTCCATAATATTTTTTTAAATATTCTTATCTCTCAATTTTATTATCAAACGTCAAAAAAAGTTTTTAAAAAAAATCAATTTTTTGCAGGAAAATGAACCGTTAACAAACTTCAGCCAAAGGCAAGAGGATCTTTTGTGTAATTTTGTCAGCAAAGTCAATTTTCGTGTAAAATTTTCCAGCAATAGGCAGGGCCGGATTTAGGGGGTGGCCACATAGGCCACGGCCCATGGCGGCAAATTTTGCAATTTTTTTAAGTGAAGGTTTGAAGCAAATCGGATTCAGAAAAAAATACAAATGAGGAAAGGTGACAAAATCTCTCATTTCCTGAGAGTACAGTAATTTCGCATTGCGTCAAACACAGTGCGTTCAGCACCGCTCGACGTGAAACGCAAAGCGCCTACAAGACTGTAGGAATACTTCACGCAATGCGTCAAACACAGTGCGCGCGGTCAGCAGCGATCGACGGGAAACGCATAGCGCCTACAAGACTGCGTGAACACTTCGCGCATTGCGTCAAACACAGTGCGTTCAGCAGCGCTCAACGTGAAAATTATTAAAATTTATTAAACCACATTTATGTTTGTTCTTTCATAATTTTTTCGTTCATTTCTTAGAAATAGAGGGCATTGTCCACACGGAGATAGGTTTACGGAACTTAACTTTCCCGCAAAGTTTCGTGAAATTTTGCCGGTAGTGTTGACATAGGGCTGTCGCAAAAAATGTGCCCAACACGAATATGCGTCTTATGCACCCCTACCCCTCCGGCACGTTCACTTGATGCTTTTTATTGATGTTTCAAAACGAATGAGAAGGGGGCGGCAAAATACAGGCGGCAAGTAGGTAAATCCGGCCCTGGCAATAGGAATAAAATTTCGTGTAATTTTTTCGTTTTTTGCCACTTGTGGCAGGGGGGTGTTTATAAGCTGAGGAACACATTCTGCGGAGATGGAGAGAATAGATGGAGATCATACACTATTCCTTCAGCAGCGATAGCATCCGTTGGCGCTCTTCATTTAAATATTGCCTGATAAGCGGAATTTATGACCGAAAATATTGCGCATGCCGCAGCTAAAATGCCGCATTCAAGCCGCATCGTGCTGCGGGGGGTAGGAGGGGGGAGGGGGGGAGTCGATTTTGCTTTGCAGAATTGCAGACCTCACGAAACGCATTCTGTGCGCGCTTTGCTCCTGCAGATCTCAGACCGTCGCGGCGCAAAGATGGATGTGAACGGCTGTGTCTACAAAAGCAAAACTGGCGATAAGGATCAAGATGAAGTAAGTGACGTTTTGTGCCTTTGATAACTAGTGCATTATGCTTTTAATTACATCATTTAACTGTCAAAATCTCCATGTTACCTGATCATCAGGAGTCACAAAGACAACAACTAGTCTCTTGCTATCGAGCTAACCTCAAAACATGTTTCCTACAGCCTTATCATTTTTCTGAAAAATCGATATCACATCATTACTTCTAGGTGAAATTGCTCAGTTTCTTTTCGTGCTTGCATATATTTAGGCCTCTACTCTCTCCTTCTGTGTAAAAAATATGCATTGAATACTTTAAAATGGACTGTCAACTAGTAAATAAACAGTCTAGTCCATACCCGGAACTGATAAACTCGCCTCTCATCTCCAGGATTTCACTTCACAGCAGCACATGAAAACCACTCGGTAAATTCAGATGCTTGAATTTATCAATACTTAATGTGCAGCTCTCTGAAAGATGTAAGTTGTTCTCACCTCAGTCGCTCACTGTGAAGTGACAAATGTTGGAGTGCCTTAATTTTTCATCATTGTGATCGTACATTCTCAGCTTCAAAGTTTCTCAAATCATTTGAAGGTACGATCTCGCAAAAAGCTGAGAGCACTTGATATTCAGCATATTATTCTTGGACGGCAAGGATATCAACTGACCTCTTTGGGTATTTATGGTCCACATTTATACTCCTCAGCCGGCATGTGTCAAAGTAAAGTTAGTCGTCATCTTATTACTTGGATCACCACGTCGCTTGTGGTTAAGTATGGCTGTTCAAAATCCCTTTATTATGAATATAGATTTCATCCATACACTGTGTATAGAGCTGTGATGATTAGATCTGTGCCGCTGGTTATCAATTATCGTTGCAAGAGATCACCCTGCTAATAATATTTTCGTTTAATTTTTCAGATTTTACTGCAACCCTTCACGTACATCCTGCAAGTTCCAGGAAAGCAAATCAGAGGAAAATTAGCGCAGGCTTTCAATGTTTGGCTAAATATTCCAGATGAGAAGTTGGCCGTTGTTGGGGATATTGTTTTGTTGCTGCACAACTCCAGTTTGTTGTAAGTAAAAACTTTTATAACTATTTTTTTGAGGAGTAATGCAACACCTTGATCTGACAACTGAGGTCAGCCAATCCAGTGTACAAAAATTCACTTTTTATAAGTGGTGCGGCAGGAAAAATACTCTCACAGCTCAGAATGCTTTTCTAATGGGAGACAGACGTTTTTAAGTTTGAAAATTAAATAATTTGAAAGTAGTACTTTGAAGGGAGTAGCAAGTCCCTTAATTGGTAAGTTAAAAGAGTAGATTTGTGCTCTAACATTGGAATCAAGATGGAATTTTTTTCTATAAATAATCAATTTTTTGCCAAAGTCAGCATTACAATCTGATGTCATGAAGCAAATTTTATTCAGAGGTTTGGCACTACTTTTGTGCCCGAAGCTCTGAGGTGCCATTTTATTTGAGTTCGGAACTTCCGATTCCGTGACTAACAAATCGCAACGTTGGTGCGTGATTTTGGTTCCGCCTTGCGAGGTGATTCTAAAAAAGGTTCAACGGACCTGATTGGTCGAATTTTGTAATAACGGTGTCCATTGGTGTTGGTAATTGATGAGACAAACCGGGACAGAACTTCCCAAAGAGGCTCGGAACCTGAAATAAAATTCGCTTATAGCGGATAGTCGCTAATAGTCATTTGTTTTTATCCCCATGAGGAAGTACTAAAATTACAGGAATAAACTCAAATGATCCTGTCGGATGAGGTTCATTCCGTGTCATCAACCTACTGGATAAAACCAGAGGGATATACGATAGACTGAGTAAGGAGATCTGTGCAGTGACTGACCAATGTTTACATTGTATGTATCACAAAATGAAATCGTAACCGTAAAACACTTTTTCTTATAGCTCCTGGAAATGGAATATCTGTATTGTGGGCTAAAGTTAAAATCCAACCACTTCACAATGTACAAAGAATGGAAGTGGGAATAAAGCACCTTCGAGATCGAACACCTCTTGATCAGTTTTTCCCTTTAAAATAGGGAATGCTGTTTCACAAAAACCAGCTCCGTTGGCTGTGATATGTTGTGAACATTTTTGTCTCCGGGTACATCCTAATTTGTCCACACAAACCAAAATTTTTTGCGGATTTTCCAATCGATTTGTCCCATTGCACGTAGTTTCCCATCAAAATTTATGGACAGGGCCGGATTTAGGGGGTGGCCCCATGGCGGCAATTTTTGCAATTTTTTAAATGTAGGTGAAATGAAAAATCGGATTCAGAAAAAAAAATACATATGAGAAAAGGTGACAAAATCTCTCATTTCCTGAGAGTATATCTCTAATTTTGTCGTCTTTCTGTGATGCAATTGACAGCACCTTTAATTAGTCGAGTTAAGACCAAGAGAGAAACTGAATACGGAATTTGGCCTGGAACGGCGCGGCGCAGATACATGCCGATGATGACGAGAACTTGAGATGAAAAGGAGAAACCCTCGGCGCGGCGGTGGGCATGTAACACATATTAGCGCCTACAAGACTGCATGAATACTTCACGCATTGCGTCAGACAGTACGGTCAACAGCCGGCGGCGAGAAACGCATAGCGCCTACCAGACTGCATGAATACTTCACGCATTGCGTCAAATACAGTGCGTGCATCAGCGGTCGGCATGAAACGCATAGCGCATACAAGACTGTAGGAATACTTCACGCGTTACGCAAAACACAATCCGGTCAGTGCGGCGCGGCGGCGGAAGTTAAAATGATTAAACCACACACATTCATGTTCGTTCTTTCATAATTTTTTCGTTCATTTCATGTAAATGGAAGGCCTTGTCCACACAGAGATATGTTTACAGAACTTAACTTTCGCGCCAAGTTCCGTGAACTTTTGCTGGTAGTGTTAACCGGGCTTTCGCAAAAAGTGTGTCCAACACGAGTAAACGCGTCTTATGCACCCCTCCCTCTCAAGCACGTTCACTTGATGGTTTTTATTGATGTTTCAAAACGAATGAGAAGGGGGCGGCAAAATACAGGCGGCCCATGGGCGGCAAGTAAGTAAACCCGGCCCTGTTTACGGAGCATCTTCAGTCAACATTACTACACTGTAATGTGGGTGAGGAATTANGGGGGGGGGGGGTAGGGGCTGCGATGAAGAGGGATGATACTGTTTCACTCTGTTCAACAATCCAAGAATCTGCAGCTTAGCGAAATTAGTGTTTATTAAAAGTTGTTTCAGAGTTGTTCTCATTTGCGGTGTTAAGTACTCATATTTCGGCTTAAACTGAATATTGGCTCACCTCGAATATCAAATTTGCTTGAGATTATTATTTAATTTGTTACGAATTCAATTTTTAAGGGAGGAGTCAGCTTTATCTGTCATAATTCTGCCCGGGAGTTGACCATGTAATCACGTCTTTATCATATTAAGTTCATGGCTTTTTGCAGCAATCAATTTTGTTTTGTTTTGCAATTTTTATTTTAATTAACAATTCTGTCTGCAAGTTGACTCTGATATTGATTTTTTACCAAAAAGGTATGCTCAGTAGTGGTAGTAAACTCTTAATTTCAATTTCTCATTAATGCAATTTTAACTTTATTTTTTGTTTTGAATTTGTTTTCAATTGAAATGGACCACTAGACAAGGTACGAATTTCATCACTCTGATACATGTTTCTTAACCAAAATTTCACGTAAAACACGGTACGCACAACAAAAATTACCGAAATCAACTCTTTACGAAGATATTAAATGATTCTTGATGCGTGAATTCAAACCACCCGCTCATGAAAACTCAATGCTGTGCGTGATTCACATCGCGCGCTAAACGTTATCATGACCGTCTCTTGCGATATAAAAATCTGGCAACCTCAATCTTGACGCTTTGGCTCAACTATAGCAAATTGCTTAAAGTTTGAACAACACATGGAGGGAAATTAACATTGCTCGATTGAGAGGCTTGCTGAAACCGTTGTAGTGCGCCATTTGACTCACGTAGAGCTTTGAGTTTCTTGTGAGCGGGCAGTTCAAAATCCGCGTAACCAATGTGAAATAAAAAGGTTAATATCTTCGTTAGGAGTTGGTTTCAGTAATTTTCGTTGCGCGAATCGTGTTCTACGTGAAATTCTGATGAAGAAACATGCATCAGAATGCTTGAATTCGTGCCTTGTCTAGTGGTCCATTTTTGGGCTAGCTTTTTTCGTTTTCATACGAAAAATATTTAAGAACCATGGCGTAAATGAATTCACTTTTTTAGCTTTTTAATTGGCTCTCTCAGACTTTTTTCTTCTGAATTTTCAGAATCATTTGAGCTTCTTTGTTTTTGATGCAGTATCTTTTCACTTAAAAGTTTTAATCATTTAAATTTTTCAAACAAAGTAAAGCACGGGGTCTAATGTAGGGAGGAGGACGGTAATGAAAACTTACCTCAAGAATTTTTCAATTTAGTTTTTCTAAAAACATTTATGAGCAACAAGGTAGAATAAGTGTCGCCTTACGAAATGGTGAATTAGGAATGAAATATTTAGCGGTCAGCCTCAGAGGAATGAGATTGATAGCAATAGGAAAGGAAATTATCAAAGAGGGTTATGCAAAACGGCCAAAAAGTGACCCCGCGGGGATTGTACGAAACTTTGTGGGATGATTGTATAGGTCATTTTGGGTCTGCATCTGGCTGCTTTTAGGCGAAAACCGCAGGGAAACAGCGTTGCCATTTTTTAAAGTCGTAACCTTCAAACACCCATAATTTTCGCAAAAATGCAGTTACAGAGCTCGTATTTATACCAAAAAATGCGGAAAATTTTGTTCTATCGACCAACACAAAGGAAATTTTTATTTGTGTCCACTGTTGCCACGTTTTGGCCATTTTTTTAATTTTCATAATGATTAAAAATCACGTTATTGCCTAAAAGTGTGTTTGCAGTTGGTGGGAATTGAATAAAAACCTGTCGGAATTATTGTTCGTTCGATTCCGCATCCATTGATATGTTATCCTTTTCTGAGAGGCTTAGGGAATCCAAGTTACAGCGATTTAAAAATTCGGCAACACGCCCGACGCCCAATTTTGACGCTCGTTAAGGTACGTTTCGCGACTCCGTGTTGAAGGAGAACGCCTAGATAAAACAAAATTCGAAGAGCCAGTTCATGTTTTACGCTTTTTTGAAACTTTCACGTCATTTTTAGAAATTCAAGTAGCGGCGGCTTTGCGTTGGTCGATAGAACAAAATTTTCCGCATTTTTTGGTATAAATACGAGCTCTGTAACTGCATTTTTGCGAAAATTATGGGTGTTTGAAGGTTACGACTTTAAAAAATGGCAACGCTGTTTCCCTGCGGTTTTCGCCTAAAAGCAGCCAGATGCAGGCCCAAAATGACCTATACAATCATCCCACAAAGTTTCGTACAATCCCCGCGGGGTCACTTTTTGGCCGTTTTGCATAACCCTCTTTAAAATCGAAGAGTCATAAAAGGTTGGACATTTTAAGATGGGAGTCATGGGCCATCTTTAATTTTTACCACAAAATTGTGTCATGCCTCTTATCAGTTTTTATCAAAAAATGACCTATCAGTGAACTTTTTTCAGTTTTTATAAAATCAGTCTTACCCAATACATCCAAAAATTAATCTAATAATTGTTAGTTTCAGTAGTTTGCCAAAAGATATTGAGCTTGACAGACAGAAATTGACAATTGATTCCGTTCATAAACCAAATATTCTCCTCGGTGAACTAGATAGTGGGTAAGACTTAATATTTTGTACCCTATCTGTGGTTCCTGCATTGGGGAATGCAATCCGCTAATATTCCGTGTGGCATATAACATTGACCTGGAGATTTTTGTGCTGTTGTGCTGTTTTAAGCTTCTTTTTTTTTTTTTTCATATGCGTACCAATCTGAATTCTTCTCCTATTGTTGGCTTGAGATGCCATGTCTCCCTCTATCGTACTTGAATTATTGGTATAATGCTCACAGTCTTATGTTTAAGTCAAAATTGGGTATATACCATTGTCACTTTTTCCGATTAAAACTGGGCTGGTGTGAGAAGTGTGGCATGAAAATCTCCTTAGGGGGGACGCTGTCAGTATTAGGGACTCGGGAAATTTTCGTAGGGTACAATATCAATTTCACAAAAATAGTAAAAAAGAACCAAAATTAAGAACTATTTAGTATTTTTTGCTGGAAAAATCCAGTTCTTTCTCCCTAATTTCGTTTCATACCCACCTCTGTATTCACGATTTTTTTTTCGGGGGGGGGGGGGGCGTGCGATATGAACTTGCTCAGTAATTTTTCATTGTTGCATTTTTGAAAAGAAGAGTGTGCAGATTAGTTCTTAGGAATTTTTTGAACAACATCAACCAACCCTCATAAAACAAGCTCCAAATTCCCTACGTTCAATTGACCAAACTTACTCTTGAACCCTAATATTTTGACTTTTTCAAATCCCCCCTCTCCACCAAGTTTTTTTTGACAGACTAAAGAGCGGCTTAGTAATTTAGCCCTCCGGAAATCTTCAGTTATACGTTTTTATCAGTTATTTTGTGGGATTTTCAAGGAGTCACTAGTAAGGAGGTATAAAGGGGTCCTTCTTCTAAGACGGTCGGAGGGGACCCCAGATTCAAAGAGGGGTGCTGCGGGCTGATTATTGAAATTGATAGACAAAGGAAGCACAAGGGTTATGGAGGGATCCTATTGGTGGAAGCGGCTGGTTGCAATGGACAAAGGAGGTAAGCAATAGACGAACTAACGGCGACCCGCGAGAGACCCGATAGTCAGTCCATCATTTACCCCCTTATTCTATAAAAACCACCCATGTCAACCAATAGGATCGCTCTTTACTCCTTATGTCTTCTTTGTCTATAGCTTTGTCTATAAATTTCGGTCCATCATATTACCCCTCAGTCTGTGACAACTACCCTTTCCAACAAACTGCCTAGCTCTATGTTCTCAATGTCCTCTTTGTTTGTCGATTTCAATAATCAGCCCGCCTTGTTTATCGATTTCAATAATCAGCCCGCCTTGTTTATCGATTTCAATAATCAGCCCGCCTCGTTCGTCGATTTCAATAATCAGCCCGCCAAGAGGCTCCTCGAAAAACTTCAAGACATCTCGGAAGCAATTTCAAGTCGTTTTTACCGAAAAATTGATGGAATCACAATTTCGAAGCCAACAGAAATGTCTCTTTCTTAGCTCGCAAAATCCCTTTAAATTGCCCGAAGTTGTCAAGTAGATTTTCGAGAGGACCCACCCGGCCTCCCTAGTTTCGTGCATAGAATCGTCCTAATTGCTCAAGATCTTGTTGCCGAGCCTGTTTACAGGTCAAAGAATATCACATTGATCGTAGTCGTTCAAAACACAGCCTCCTACCCCTTCTCGCCCACCCCCTGGACCCCCCCTCCCTGGCCGGTTTTACGAAACTTTTCGCCCGCACGCCAAAACTTGCTAGCTGACGGGTTAGAATGCATAATCCCTTCAAGTCTCGTTGAGGGTAAATCCGAGATATCTCTCTCTGGAGGGGCTCCAAAATAAGAAACCTTCAAATTGTCCCTCGGAGGGAACCAGTGGCGTGGCGGGCTTTGCGATTTATCGATTGATCTGCCATTTAAACCTATGTAAGAAGATCGATAGGCAGGGTGTTCGCAACGAAGACCTTAATAATCGATTCTTTAGCATAGCTATAAATGGAGAAATATCGATTATCAATCACTCACGTCTCGCCACTGGAGAGGAAGAACGCCGTATTGTCCTCCAGATGTTTCCAAATTTATTTTGATAAAATGGACTACATTTTGCAATAAGGGACCACTATTTCTGGCCCATTTTAGAAACAACATACACGTCATCGGTTTTCCTACGCAGATTTGTGCTTTTACGTCCATCATTTTCTCCCTTAGTCTATAAGAACCACTGGCTTCAACCAATAAGATCGCTCCATACTGCTGTGCTAAGGAAGAACGCCGTATAAACATTCGAGAGTTGCCAAATTTCCCCGGATACAACATGTATTTTTGACGAAATTTAAGCACGGGTTTTTTGAAATTTTCAGATATTTTAGATAAATCATGAAAAAAATTGACTGAAAAATTTGAGGAAAAATATTCGAAATTTTTTCAGTAAATCCGGGTTTTCTTGAAGGAAATATGGCAACTTCTGATGGCTCATACGGCGTTCTTCCTTAGCATGGCAGCATACTCCGTATGTCTTTTTTGTCGAACACTTCTATGAATTTCAATAATCAGCCCGCAGAAGCGATTGAACCTGGACGAAAGGAGGCGCGGGTGAATTAGTGATACCATTGTTTGAATTTATTTCAAAAATCACTTATCCACAGTTCCACAGACACGCGCCGGCGCCGACGTGCAAGATAATCTCGGATAGGTCGAGCTTTTGATTAAACCAATTTAACTTCTTTTATGATAACTTAATTAAAAAAAAAGTCGTACCATACATCTTGGAGGTTGCCACATAAAACATCTAACATCTACGTCGCTGTGTTCTTACTTGTGTTGAACACAGAGACGGATCCAGCAATTTGGTATCACCGGATTTCCTCCATATAAACATAATGCTAAATAATCGATTCTTGTCAGAGCATCTGGTCCCTCCAAGAATCGATACATTTCCATATGTTTAGAAAGGAGAAAAGACAGTTTTGCCAATTTGCTGGATCCGCTAGTGGTTGACCATGTTCATAGAGAATGAATAAAAACTCGAAAATTCTTGAGCGGTTTGTTTTTACTCGCCACCGAAAAATCATTGCAGAGAAGCGAATTTTTGACGGGTAGGAAGCTAATGGAATAAGCTACAAGTTTCTAAAACTCATAATTAGATATTTTTGGTAGTTCTCTCTAAACAAGGCAACCCTCACTTTTTTTTGGAACAGTTTTTGTAAAATGGGCCTGTTGCAAACTTTTGCTAGAGCAGAATGAAGAGTTGTTTCCTATAGATAATGCCTCAAAAATCACGATGAGCGCATCGGCAAAGTCTGAAATGCACTCATAAATTCACAATCTGCGTAAGAAATTTGCGTTATTTTGAGCTTCCCGCTTCAAAAACGATACTACTGCACAGGTGAACATTTTGTTAGATGAGTCCCTCCATCGTCGGCAATATTCATCATGGCCGACGCTTGCGCAGTTCCGCGAGTAATTCGAGGAGAGTTCAAGATCAATTAAGGCGGGCGAGGAAAATATAAACGTAAACACGCCGATTGTTATCTGATTTAATCCTGTTCAGATGTTATCTCGTCCCATCACACGTGTTTTGGCGGACTGGCGTCGGCCATGATGAGTATTGCCGCCAATGGAGCGGCTCCTCTAACAAAATGTTCACCTGTACCGTAGTATCGTTTTCGAAGCGGGAAGCTCAAAAAACCGCAAATTTCTTAGGCAGATTGTGAAGTTGTGAGTGCATTTCAGACTTTACCGATGCGCTTATCGTGATTTTGGAGGCATTATCTGTAAGAAACAACTCTTAGTTTTGCTCTAGCAAAAGTTTGCAACAGGCCCATTACATGAAAAACTTACTATTGGGACGACCATCGCAAAATATCAACTTTATTGAACCTGCTTTTCTCGGTATCTCAATCGGAACAATTCAAAAGAATTTTTTTTCTCCCAACTCATCGCGCAAATCGAGGTGTCAGTTTCACATCAAATAGGTACGAATTTCAGCCCCAAAAATTGTCACACCCTCCAGCCGTACAGTGGATCGAGTCAATCGGACAGGTCTGACATGATATAGTTGACTAAAACTGCAAATTTTGATGTTTATTTCGTCACATTTTAAATTTTTAGGGGTGCTTATACAGGGTGTCTAGCATCAGGATTTTCCAGATTTTCCCGATTCTATCAGAATTTGAGGTTAATTAGGATTTAATCCCGATTTCATCAGGATTCGAGGAAAAATCGATCGTAAAATCAGGATTTGAGACAAGTCGGCTGTCCCATCGGATTTTTTTGTGCTTTCGCATACGCTTATGCTGAAATTTTAATTTTTCTCCGCAAAAAATCAGGATTTGGAAAAGTTTTGAAATCAGGTTTTAGTAGTCAAAACTCAGGAAAAATCAGGATTTCCCAAAGTGGAAAAAAAACTAGACACCCTGTACAGTCGAAAATTTCACGAGGAAACCGATGGAGGCACTTTCAGAACCTCGACGTTTTGCATAAATGGAGTTATGACCGTTCAAAGTTTCCAAATTTTGTCCGACCTTTCCCATTGACTCGATCCACTGTGAGCCGTCTGAAATCGCGCCGCGTCGGAAACTTTTCTGTATCCAAAATGGACCACTAGACAAGGTACGAATTTAAGCGATCTGATACATGTTTCTTAACCAGAATTTCACGTAGAAAACGATTCACACAACGAAAATTACTGAAACCAATTCCTAACGAAGATATTAACGTTTTCATTTTACATCGGTTACGAGGAATTGAACTGCCCACTCACAAGAAACTCAAAGCTCTACGTGAGTCAAATCGCCCAGTACAACGGTTTCAGCAAGCTTCTCAATCGAGCAATGTTCATTTTCAACCATGTCTTGTTCAAACTATTAGCAATTTGCTATAACTGAGCCAAAGCGTTAAGATTGAGGTTGCCAGATTTTTGTATCGCAGAGACTGTCATGATAACGTTTAGCGCGCGATGTGAATCACGTAGAGCATTGAGTTTTCATGAGCGGGTGGTTTGAATTCACGCATCAAAAATCATTAAACATCTTCGTAAGGAGATGATTTCGGTAATT